CGAGTAAAAACTTGATATTTTGTTGAGAGAGATTTATCTTATTTTTTAGCATTCATTTTAATTACATGAATAATAATAAAATAATAATAAGTAACTTATTCGTGATGTGACTCTTATAAGAAAGTTTTTTGAATACACAAAATGTTATTTATTGTTCTAAGTTGCTTGCTTATTTGATTAAAGAATTTTTTAAAGGGAAGTAATACAAGTATGGCTTTTTAGCTATGAAAGAAAAGAATTTATTAGGAATTTATTAGGCTCAAAAGGTGTTTTTAAGGTTTTTAGCTCATTGTCATTTATCTAACTTTTTGTAATCTTTTAATCTTTTCTTCACCATATTTATTTGTCTCAACCTGTTTTTATTGTTCTTTTGGGGTGTCTTTATTTTGTTTTGACCTTGACTTAGTTATTTCTTTTTTATTTAGACATACTCCCCAACATTCAAATTTCTTGGGATTTTTTACTTTTGAATTTCATAATTTTTCTTAACTCTGGATTTTTGAATTTCCATTTACTCTCTAATATGGAGTGTGATCATAGCTAGGGTTTTTTCATGAAAGACTCATTAAAGCTCAAATGAGGACTATAAGGAGGTATAATAATATGTTTTTTAAAAAATAAAAAGATAGTAAAGATGATCTTTCTTCATTTAAGTACAAACAGTTAGAAAAAAAGTTTTTTTTTTCATTCAATATAATAGTTTAGAGTTGCAAATAATTATGTTTTGGAGTCTATGACTATCGAATCCACTATGTACTATTATATATACATCTAAAACGTGGCTCAAAAGATATATTTTAAGGATAAATAAACATTTTTATTTTGTCTTTAGGTTCAAAATTGTTTGGTCACCTTATAATGAGAATTACTTGAATGATTTATTTGTCACCTTAAAAAAAAAAGGTGCCTAAACATTGTTTTAAGCAAGCATTGAATTATTTCTTAAATAAGAAAGTAGATTTGATTTTTTAGTATTATTTTGTTAAGGGTTGTGTTTTTTTTTTTTGACAAAACCAGTTTCCTTATAATATTTTGAACAGGACTATACATATAAAATTCAATTTTATAAATCTACTTTCTTAAATAAGAAAGTAGATTTGATTTTTTAGGATTATTTTGTCAAGGGTTGTTTTTTTTTTTACAAAACCAGTCTGGTTATAATATTTTGAACATAGCTATGACATATAAGATTCAATTTTATGAGACTAAAAAAGGGTAGAGATTGCCACTTAGTGTCTTATATAACATACCTTAAAGTTCAATCATTTTAACTATTATATTTATCTAATCATGGACAACAGTAATGTCCAGTTATTATTTTCATAAAAATTTATCTAATCATGGACAACAGTAATGTTCAGTTATTATTTTCATAAAAAAAATCAAGATAAAAATGTTGAATAGAAAAGTTCTATAATAAAAGGCTGGAAAAATGTCACTCTTTTTCTTAAGTCAAATTTCTTAACAATATTTGTATCTTATTAATTTTTACCAATCACTTATTTTGCTGGAAATGATCTTATGACAATTTATAATGTACCATTATTATTCAACAATTCAACTTGTTCTATTTTATCCTAATTAAGGGTCATTTTTAGATTTATCTTCTGTGATAACTCTAGAGCTCATGGATGAACCTTTAGTTTTTCCTGTTTTGATAACTTATTTAATTTTTTCAACCATAATTACCAGAGTAGTAAAGTGTTGGGTCACGTTCCCAACTAAGAACTCAAAGTAGGGTGTCTTAAAAGTATAGATAAACAAGTTGACCATCTTTTTTTCTAACAATTAAGGATTCACCTGAGCAGCTACTCCATACTACTTCAAGGCGTACTTCCAAATAGATTTCCTATTCTATATCTTGCATGCTCATTCTATAATATGTAGCATCCATGTTGAATTTATATTGTTTGACAAATGCATTCATTAGGTATTTCAACACTTTAATCCTAGTATTGTCAAGCCTTATATACAAAGTCAAGCCAACTTCACTGAGGCTATTTTGGAAAAAAAGGATTAACATTTTCTTATCATTAATAACTTCTGTCATTTTATTATAGTAAAATTTTAAGGGAGTCATTAGAAATTGATTTCCTATATACTTAACAAACTCGGGCACTCAAAATTCCTTTGGTACCATGACATAAGAGACTAAACACATTTATATTGCTTTTGCTAGGTCATATAGATTAAACCCTTCTATCGAACTCATCATTTTTTCTAAAGCTACCTATTTTTCATAAGCCTTTTCTTCCATAGACTTCTCTTTCATAGCTTCTTCTTTTTCATAACTAGATTCTAAAGATGTTTCATTGAGGCTCGGATTCTAAAATTAAGTTATAATTGTTAGAGGAGATGCTATTGTTAGTTCAGTATCCAAGGCTTCTATAGATTTTTCCTTTAATGCCTACTCAAATAGACTAGCAAACCTTGTTACCTTTTCATCTCTTTCTAATGTTAAGCTTCCTAAAGGGCTCGTTCCTTATTTTTCATTAGTGTTTTTTTTGGGATATATTGTTATAGGTTTGCTTCAAAGGGAATCCTATATTTCAATCTTGTATATGCACACATGACATCTTAAAAACATGTTTGCATATGAATGTTTATTTATGCTTATGAGAACATATACTGGATATGGCTTAGCCCTTCTAATTAGATCCATGGCTTCCATGTTTTATTATTTAGATAAAATTTATAAGGCTGTCCAATCACTATAAAGAAGTATTTTTTCAAGTTCTTATCTTGGTTGAGTTGATTCTTAGATAATTTCCTTCGGTTAACTAGGCTATCTCAGACTCAAATTCTTGAAAAGATATGTACTGTATGAAAGTCGTGATTTGAACTCAAAATCCTTGCAATATAGGGTGTTTATGGTTAGGTTCGCCTTATATGCAATATGAATATTTAAGAGTATTCACTTATAAGGAAGTTCTAATTGAATTCTTGAAAAGATATGTATAATATGAAAGTTATGGTTTCAACTCAAGATCTTTGCAATATAGGATGTTTATAGTCATGCTTGCTTTTAATGTAACATGAATGTATAGAAGCACTCACTTATAGAAAAATTCTAGTCATTAGATAAACATGGAGAATTTTTCTACCTGCTCTTAGAAAGGTCTCAAAAAGGTCTCAAATATGCCTAGTAATGGTCCTCATATAGATAGTATGATGGTGTTGTAAGAAATGGTTAAGATATGTATGCCCAATATTATCAAGTAAGCATTTAGTTATGAGTTGGGTGTTTCATGAACCTAAACCCATACCAATGGTTTTTTTTCCCCTAGACCTATATGCTTAGTTTAAAACTTTTTTTTCTACTTTTTTTTTGTTTTTTTTCAATTTTATTCTTTAATTTTTAGTTGATTTTTAATTGTTCTTCATATTTTATGATCATATAATTAAATAAAAAAATATTGTTAACCAAGTGGAGTTCATGACTTGGGTATCAATCTTGGTAGGTTAACATAGGGTTATTTAAATCAATTCAATATGTTGTAGTTTCAATGTTTTAAGAAAATATCTCACCTTAAATTTCTTTTTAAAAGCCAAACTATTTTTCTTTTTTTGGTCATTTAGATTTTTTATTATTTGAACTTGTCAAGTCGAATGAGTTATGTTAAAATAACTCTCAAGCTATTTAATTAAAAAACTAGATTAGGTAACGAGTGAAGTTTAAAGTTTTTGAATTTAACATCTGAGATTGAGTTTCATAACAATACCAAAGAATTCATTATAACAAGGATATTAATTTTTTTACATTCAATTTTTTTTCCCTCAACATAGTACAAAAAAGTAACGTAATTCCAAGAAACTTCATTTTTATCAAGTTTTAGTTCTTAAATATTGGAGGGGAGAGAGAGAGAGAGAAGGAGAGAGAGTCATTGAAAAGAGATAGAAGAAATAAAATATTTTATTGACTGCATTTCAATGAAAAAGAAATGAATTTTAATGCCAATAGATTTGTCTCAAGTAAATGAAGATTGTTTGAATCTCTAATTATGCCAAAAAAAATATGGATCAAATTTTGGGAAGTCTAATTTGATTTGGTTTTATATTTTTATACTAATTAAATTGTGTTTTTAAACATAAAAATGAGGTTATTGATGTTTTAAGGATTTTTTCTAGCATTTGTAGGATCCAAAAATTTAAATTTTAATTTTTCAATCATTAAAAAAAATCAAATTTATTATAGAAAATAATGAGTTGGCTGTCCCTTGAAAAAAAAAACCATTTATATGAGCTTCGTATTCTAGTTTTAAATGCTTTCGAGCCTTTGTTTTTTATAGTTTTTTTTACTAAAGGTCAAACAAGTTGATTTAAAGGAAAAATTTTTTTTTTACTCTATACAATTATGTCTAAACAATATCTTGGAAAAAAAAAATCCATGTCAAAGATATTAAATTTTCTATTTTTTATTTTGTTATAAAAATAACAATTTGACTTTTACTTACTGTGAAGTTTATGTGTAAATATTATATATATATATATATATATATATATATATATATTTATGTAGAACGGCCACTTAAACTAGTTCTTTATAAAAATTAATTTGTCACGTATTTTTATTCTAATCTATATAATTTTGAAAAGTAAAAATTTATGTCCCTGAATTTTAAAATTTTCCAGTCCTCATATTTGTTAAGAAAATAAAATATTTTAGTCATTATTTCAATTTTTTTAAAAAAAAACAAGTTCTAATACGACAGCACACAAAAAATTGTTTTAATTAACGAATATCAACAGAGTATCAAGTGAATATCTATATTCGAAAATCATTGGTATGTGTTCTTATTTATCAATATCTCCAGTATTCATTGAACAAATTTAAATATGCGTACGCTATCGACGGCTACCGATCCATTTCCAACCCTGCGATCCGCCAATTAATCTTTAAGTAATGGCAAATCCTCTTATTGGCCAACCGCTTAATCATTTGTTATTAGGTACATACACATTGACATGTGTGCTCCATTAAAGTATTGATGGGCACGGTATTATTCTATATTAAACCTAGATGAAAGGAGAACATTGAATTAATATCTTGAAAGAACTAGCTACATGTCCAGACTTCACCTTGCTTCTTAATCATTTTCTTCAATAAGTCAAGCTTCTTTCTTTCAGCAATGGCGCCACCGGCTGATAATGAAGTTGTCCTTGAGTTTCGATTCTTCAAGGTGTACAAAGACAGCCGTGTCGAATTAGTCTGGCCGGAATGCCCCAAAGTCCCACCATCCACTGACCTGATTACTGGGGTTCAGTCCAAAGATGTGATGATCTTAACTGAACCCCAAGTGTCTGTCCGTGTTTTCTTGCCGAAACTCAAAGCCCCTGACCAAAAACTCCCTCTCTTACTTTTCGTGCATGGTGGTGGCTTTGTAATGTTTTCACCCTCTGCAATTCCCTACCACGTTTTATGCAACAAAGTAGCAGCTGACGCTAACGTTATTGTTGTCTCTGTTGAGTATGGTCTCTTCCCTACCAGACCGATACCAGCATGCTATGAGGATTCGTGGGAAGCGCTCCAGTGGGTGGCTTCACATGCTGATGGGAGTGGAGCTGAGCCGTGGCTGAACAATCATGCTGATTTTGGTAAAGTTTTTTTGGGGGGAGACAGTGGTGGGGCTAACATATCACATACTCTAGCATTCCGGGTCGGGTCAATTGGGTTACCCGGAGTGAAGGTAGTTGGAATGATCATGGTGCATCCATTTTTTGGTGGTACCGAGGATGACAAGATGTGGTTATACATGTGCCCAAGTAATAGTGGGTTGGATGATCCCAGGCTGAATCCGGGATTAGAAGATCTTGCTAGGCTTGGCTGTGAGAGGGTGTTGATCTTTGTGGCTGAGAAAGACAGCTTAATTGCTGTAGGAAGGAACTATTACGAGAAGTTGAAGAAGAGTGGATGGAAGGGAAGCGTTGAAATTGTTGAGAATGAAGATGAAGATCACTGCTTCTACTTGCTTGATCTCAATTCAGAGAAGGCTGTTGGATTACTGCATAAGTTTGTTTCCTTTCTCAAACAAGACTAGAATTCCCTGGTGATTTAGTCCTATCATTTTTCCTTTTTGTCTTTTATAATTGTTGAAACACCTCGTTGTTTTATGACTAATCAAGGGTGAATAATCCTCTTCCAATCCTAATTCAAAATCCTTTGAATAAGCTTAAAATATATGATGATCTTGCTAGGATGGGTACTTGTCTGTTTCTCGGTGGCTGTACTGTTATTATACCGTGAGTTTTATTCCATTTCTAATTTAAATGAAATCTTCAAATAAGATGTCAACGATTGCATGAAATGGAAATCAGTTGGTTCGCTTTGGCCGTCAACGGCTTAGAAAACCGCAACAGGACCATTAAAAAAAAAACTCAATTTGTCACTATTCAAGCTAGGGCGTCAAGCTTGAGCGACGGATGGTGATTTTGAATCCTTGACTTCAACGGAGAGATCTCAAAAATACAATCCCAACCCTTCCGGCCAGTGTTTACCTTTTCCTTGTTTTTTTTTTTTTTTTAAAAAAAGATCCATGACGCGTTGAGCCACTTATTCATTCTTTAAGGCCGGGTGCCGAGAACTAAAAAATGGTGTTTCGGGGGCTCTTTGCCTACCTAACAAAGCAGCAAATCCTTCCCGGATACTTTTTTCCATTGATATTTCCGTACCAAGCTCGATCCATTAAGCAAAGGAAGATAACAAACATTCAGGATTCATGAAAGAGTTAGGGTTAGAAAGATTCAAATTTTATAACTATTATATAATTATAAATATTCAAACTTTATAACTGTTATATTTCTAGTCAGCTAATAGACATTAAAAACCAAGAAAAGTTTGTGTTATAAAGATTTAAATTTTATAATTGTTACATCTTCAGCTAGCTCCTTCTCATCTTTTTATAAACGAAGCTCCAACTAACTCTTATTTATAATGGATATTCTACTACGTTGATGAACCTGCAATAATCATAATTTTAAAATTAAAATTATATTTGTAATAATATTTCATAAATAATTAGTTGAGATTATATTTTTAATAATATTTCATAAATGATATGTGTGTGGGAACGCTTCTGTTATACTATTTTTTAATCATTTAGAAAATATATACAAATCATGTTTTCCCTTATAATTGTTTGTTTGCATTCCTTTCTTAGTATTAGAGCACTTTAGCTCATGCTACTTTGATTTAAGCTTTCGTAAAAGATGTCTTTTTCTAACAATACCGGTAACCTTTTACATCTCAATTCAACAATAGCTCTTATTTCTTTTAAGCTTGATCAAACAAATTATTTAGGATGACAATCTCAATTTCTAATCCTTTTTAAGAGCAATAATCTTCTAGGATTCGTTGAAGGATTTGAACTTGTCCCTGAGAAGACAAATATAGATGGTATTGTCAATGTTGCATATACTGTCTGGTACAAGAAAGAGCATTACTTGAACTTATTATGTTTTTAATAACTCCAAATCTTGTTGTCTCATTTTATAGCTAGAATACATCCAAACAAGTTTGGAATGCACTTAACATCAAGTTCTTTAATCAATTTAGATCTCGCATTACACATACGAGAAGACAACAAAGAACTATCACACAAGGATCCAAGAACTGTTCTACATACTTGGAGGATGCCAAATCCATTATAGATCAATTAGTAGCTGAAAGAAAAATAATTGATGATCGAAATTTAATTTCCTTCATACTTGGAGGACTTAATTAGGAATATAATTCATTCATTACTTCCTTCAATTTTGTTTCCAAAGATAATGAATTTACTTTCAAAGATTTTAATTTTGAACTATCACTCATGAATCTTTACTAGAGACTCAATGATTAACAATGGTGTCTAATAGTACTTTTACATTTGCTGCCAACAAGAAGTCTCCATTCACAATTAAGAAGAAGACTTATATTCCTTCTAATTAATCAAGAGGTCCATAACAATGACACTCCTATCCTAATGCTTTGTTAGGACAACCTGTTGTGGCAAAACATAATTCAAACCCAACTACCATATGTCTAGTATGTCAAATTTCAAATTTATGATCACACAAAACATACTGTAATTGATTTCTATCACAAGCTTGAGTATAATATCAGGGACACCATCTTCCAACTGAACTTGAAGCAATAGTGGTTGAATCAAATACACAATATGACCACCAAGTATGGTATATAGATAGTGAAGCCAATGTTTATGTTATCTCAGATGATCAGCTTCTCACTCAAAAACTACTCTACCACCAAGGAGAAACTTTAACAGTAGGGAATGGTGCAAGTTTAATAGTTAAAGGCACTAGTTTTATTTCTTGACAAATAAACAAAACCAACTTTCATCTGTCAAATATCTTAAATTGTCATCATGCATCCTCAAATCTTTTATCCATAAATAAATTTTGTCTTGATAACAATTATTATTTTATACTAATTAGCCATGATTTTACTGTGAAGGAGAACCAGATAGATCTAACACTACTCTATAAAGGGCGTTTAAGCTATTCTTGAACGTAAAACTAAGGAAAGATGTGAGCTATAATCACAAGTACGATTTGAGTCTTAGTTTGAAAAAATTTATATCTTTTGGTTTTATTAATAACATGTTATTTTGTTTTATTATTTCTTATATTTGTTTAAATATATTTCAGGTGATATCTTCTATACTCTATTTTTCTACTTTAGAACATTGAAGATGATGTCTCGTTTTGGTTAGGGAAAAAAGGTAGTAGTTGATATTAAAAAAAATTAACTAACTATGTTTTCTATTTCATAAATCATTTACCAAATTGTTATTACTAGGATGACAAAACAAGGAGAAATTTTATTGACTCTTGAGACGCATCTTCATAAACATTTTTTCAATGGTTATTTGCAATATTTATAACAAGGTCTATCATATACTTCTCTTGAAATATTCAGATTTACAAACTCTCATATTATTATCAATTGATTCTGCTCATATATTCATTTAACTAGTATTCTTAAACCTTCATTTTCACACATATACTTTAAAATATGAATGTGGGATGTAGATTGGATAATTACATTATTTATATTCTTTTGTTAAAGGTAACAACTAAAGGGAATGGATAGTATATAATTTGTAAAAAAACAAAAAACAAAATAATAAAAAAATAATGATAATAAAAATATAGATAAATTTGGTTTTGTAGCCTCCTTACCCTAAGTAATTAAGCTTGAAGGGGTGTTGTAACACCTAATACCCTAAAGTCAATTGACTTGGGAGCTATTGACTCAACGCTTGTTACATGGGTTAAGGAGAAAAACTTAAGGGAATCAAACATTGCACTATCTATGTTTCACTATCTGCAACCCGAGTTACTAAGCTCGTAGGGGTGTCTCAACACCTAATGCCCTAAGACCAATTGCTCTGGAAGTCATTAGCCGAAAGCTCGTTGTATAGGTTAAAGATACATTATATTTTAAATTATATGTTTATATATTAATAAAAAAAGAGAAAAAAAGAAGAAGAAAAATATAATAATTTTAACTCAAGGAAGTTAATCTTAAATATTAGAACAAAAATTTTGTTATCCTCCAAGTAAAGCCTCATAACTATGTGTTGATATATTGAACACAAAACAAAGGTTTATTAATATCTTGTTTAAGAGGTATTGAGCAGATATATAAAATTAATGAGAGTTCGTATATCTGGATAGATTAATAGAAGTTGAATGATAAATGTTCTACTTTGTGGAATTTACAAATTATTTTTCTATTTTAATGCTTTGATTACTAGGGACTAGTAACAAGCTAGTTGAGGGGTGATTAATACTTAAAAGAACATTTTTATCAAGGTTTTATATCATTATTTTGCACTTGAAGTATCAATAACTCCTTAACTAAAACATGTTTTATAATAAGAAGTCTGATACCACAAGATACCTTTAATTTATGGTAAATATTAATCTTAAATGCAGGTCTATCATATAAATAAAAGGATTGGTTGATGAGTTCAAGTACTGAATTTGAAAGGATAAAGAGAGGGTGAAGCTTAGAAAAGAGATATTGGTTTAGTCCAAATTGGAACATTATTCGTAATTGGATCATAACTAGAGCTATAAAACTTGGATTTAGGTCTGCTTTATATGGATGGAAAGTTAAGACATAGGCCTCAAACTTTTATGTGGAAGGAAAGACTCAATTCTACTATTTAGAAGTCCAAATCTTAGCAATAACGTAAAAGTCTAAATTTGTCCTGCAGCCCAAATACAGTTAAGTGCTAAGCCATATCACGAGTTCTAGAAGTCCAAATGACCTCAATTTTTTTTAAAAAAGCTACAATAATTTCCTAAATCTTTCATAAGGAAGGTTGCTTTCAAATTTTGATGTTATCAATGATGTTTTGTTCAAACAAGAAGATAAGGATTGTCACCAAATCAAGAGATGGTCACCCACTCAACAATTAGTCAACAAATCAATAATTCTTAATTTTAGCCTATAAAAAAAAGCATTTGTCATGCATTTAGGTATCTTGGTTTCCAGATCAAGATCATACTCTTCCGAATCCTGAATGCCTAACAACATTTACAAGTATTAATATAATTCAAATAAGATAACTAATGTAATCATGTTAACAATTTATAATCCGATTGGAACCTCCTTTATGTATGGTTTCTAGTCGAATAATAAGAGTTTATACTATACTTGTTTGAAATACTATACTTGTTTGAAATACCATACTTGTTTGAAATACCATTAGTGGATTCTCTAACCTTGACATTTGTTTTTATCATTGTTTGATCCTCACATTGATCTTACATCTCAAAGTTCTCATCAACTTCTTTATTATTATTATTATTATTATTATTATTATTATTGTTACTACTATTACTATTATTATTGTTGTTGTTGTTGTTGTTGTATTATTGTTATTTATAATTTATATAATTAACCTTCATGTGGTTCGACCCTAGTCTTACTAGGTCATTTATTACTTCAACACTCCTGCACTTGGGAGAAGATATTAATCTTTTGGTCGTGTCAGTAGCCCTCCATCGCTATCATCTTTCTCCACGAGCACCAGCCTCATCTCTACATTAGGTGATCCAATAATCTGAAGAGACCCTTCAACCACTAACAGTCATTTTTCACAGCCATCGTGAGCATGCACCAGGTCCCATTGAAGCAGCTGCATTGATCTTAGCAACACTTGGAGCTACCATCCTCA